TTATGGACCAGGGAAAAGTGCCATAGAAGACCAATAACTGTTTTTAATCAGGGCTAATTATTAGCCCATCATTGGAGCAATATTCATTTGTTGCAATTCATTTTTAATTAATAAATATAAGTTCATAGTTTTAAACTGGTAGAAACTGCCTTTTCAACCCATATGTAATAAAATGTTTTTAATAAAGCTAGCAAAAACACCAGCCCACTTTCATTTTTGGAAAAATGAGCTGGAACATAAAGGAATTATACGTAACTAGCTGAAATAAACAGGCAGTACTTTTTAAATACGTGAACTCCAATATTATTGCACTTCTTTCAAAACTGTTAATCTGTTGCTTCTTGTACTGTGTATAGTTCTAATAATTTTAACTGAAACCCTTTAACAACTCTTTGTATATTATAATTTTTAGTTGATTTTCTGTAATATTTACATAGGAATTGATTTTTTTAATATTAGCAGAAGTGTGCTGTATTTTGATAAAATTCACTTATTTTCTGTGTGCTTTAATCTTTACAGAAAAGAACAAAAATATAGCTATATAATGGCAGGCTTCCGCGTTCCTTTTTTCCCCCTAAGACTTTTTAATTTCTCAATATATTTTTTTATCGACAATGCAAAATGATCACATGACGTCTTCATTGCTTTTAATCATACTATTTTTAATCACACTCTGCCTTTTAAAGGGAATACATACAGATAAATCCTAATTTAACTTGACCTGATACATAAACTGTAACTTTGAGGAGGGAAAAGTCCAAAAACCAGAACTGATTCTTTACTGATCTTGGACTTATTTTAACTTTGTGTATATTATACAGTAGGTTTTAATAGTTCAATGAGGGTTTTACTGTTGCAAATGCTGTAACATTTTTCTTTAATGTTAACAGAAGGTTTAAACTATGTTGTGTCAATTAACTTAATTTGTAAGGTTGTGTATTGCAGAAAAATACTGTTACCAAAAACATTGGTTTGGCTATGGTATAACTGTAGGAGTTTAGTACTTCTTGTGGAAATACTTGGCCAAAGTCTGTCTTCAAGAAATTAGCAAACTAATCATGAAATAAAATATTGATTGTATTGATTTTACAAAGAAAATATTGGAGGTGTTTTTTAAAAATGTATTGAAAATGGTTAGGGGATTAAAAAAAATCAACATTCATGTTTTTTGGAGAGTGGGAAGGGAGAGGTCTGTTTAATTAGTCCATTCAAAATACAGGAGGAGAAGAACCATATCAAAGTTATTTAGCCTGTATTTTCAAACAAAATAAAATCAAATTCATCAACACAAGTGTGGAATTAATAAAGTTTACATCAACTCAATGTTCTTTCTCATCATAACAATTCATTAAAGAATCAGTTCAGTTTACAATGAAATTTCCCACGTATTTATTATGTAAATATTTTTCTGACTTCCTTTTTTGGACTGGAGTTTAAAAAGTGTGTATATACTTGAAAGCATTCTATGAACACAAACAGCAATAAGCAACACACAGAATCAAGCCTTGATGATTGATTTGCTGTACTACTTTTTTTAGAATTATTTCCTTGTCAGCAGTTATGAAATGTTTTTATTGATCAGCATTTATCCAACATTCCAAATTTTTGTATATAATTAGATTGTTTCTGAGATAACACATGGAGAATAGATAATAAACTAATGCTCTTTAAAGCCGTGTGTAACTGACTTATTTAATACTTAAAAAGTTCTCCAGAACATATTTTTCTATAGTTTCATATAATTTGCATAATACAGACCTCAGTCTTTAATCAAAATGTATTAGTACAGATTCACATATGCCCAGTAGGACTCTGTGTGAATGCTTAAGGGGTCTACTTTAGTGGATCTTGTTGCAGGACTGGGTCAGAATTTTGGTCAGACACTTAAAGGTAAACACTTAATAGATATTTGTTAAAAAAAAATACTACTACTACTGTTTATAGTTCCAAGCCGGCTATAACTGTGGATATGTCCATTGTTGTTCCATTGAGGCTGCCATTTCCCTTTAACAGACCGAAACTAAGGGAAATTAAGACAGATGTAAACTTGCTCTCCATTGAAACCAATGGGAAAAGCATTGTATTTTGAATAACAATTTGAGACTTAATTTTTTTTAAATGCAATTAGGTAAATGAGATCTGGTTTCCACTTGGGTTTGTTTTATTGCTAAGGAGTGTCCAGGAATCTCAGAAGAATATGGATAACCAACTGCCCCTATCACTGAGGTATGGGATGCCTCAAATGTGATGACTCTAGCTTCAACAGCCCCGAGGGCGGGTGAGGTCAGGCATCAGAGTCAGAAGATATTTTGGGGAGCAGTCTGATTTGGGAGGACTGGGCTACTTGAATTCTTTGAAGGGGTCAACAAGCATGTGGACAAGGGGAAATCCAGTGGTTATAGTGTACTTAGATTTTCAGAAAGCCTTTGACTTAAGAGCCTCACCAAAGGCTCTTAAGCAAAGTAAGCTGTCATGGGATAAGAGGGAAGGTCCTCTCATGGATCGGTAACTGGTTAAAAGATAGGAAACAAAGGGTAGGAATAAATGGTAAGTTTTCAGAATGGAGAGAGGTAAATAGTGGTGTCCCACAGGGGTCTGTACTGGGACCAGGCCTATTCAACATATTCATAAATGATCTGGAAAAAGGGGTAAACAGTGAGGTGACAAAATTTGCAGACGATACAAAACTACTTAAAATAGTTAATTCCCAGTCTCTCAAAACTGGGTGACTGGGCAACAAAATGGCAGATGACATTCAATGTTGATAAATGCAAAGTTATGCAAATTGGAAAACATCATCCAAACTATACATATACAACGATGGGGTCTAAATGAGCTGTTTACCACTCAAGAGATCTTGGAGCCATTGTGGATAGTTCTCTGAAAACATCCACTCAATGTGCAATAGCAGTCAAAACTAACAATGTTGGGAATCATTAAGAAAGGGATAGATAATAAGACAGAAAATATCATACTACCTCTATATAAATCCATGATATGCCCACATCTTGAATACTGCATGCAGATGTGGTCGCCCCATCTCAAAACAGATATATTGGAAAAGGTTCAGAAAAGGGCAACAAAAATGATTAGGGGTATGGAATGGCTTCCATATGAGGAGAGATTAAAAAGACTGGGACTTTTCAGCTCAGAAAAGAGACGACTGAGGAGGGAAATGATTGCGATCTATAAAATCATGACTGGTGTGGAGAAAGTAAATAAAGTGTTATTCACTCATAACACAAGAACTAGGGGGTCACCCAATGAAATCAATAGGCAGCAGGTTTAAAACAAACAAAAGGAAGTATTTCTTCACACAATGCTCAGTCAACCTGTGGAACTCTTTGCCAGAGGATGTTGTGAGGGCCAAGACTATAACGGGGGGTCAAAAAAGAACTAAATAAATTCATGGAGGATAGGTCCATCAATGGCTATTAGCTCGAATGGGCAGGGATGGTGTTCCTAGCCTCTGTTTGCCAGACGCTGGGAATGAGCGATGGGATGGGTCACTTGATGATTACCTGCTCTGTTCATTCACTCTGGGGCACCTGGCATTGGCCACTGTTGGAAGACTGGATGCTGGGCTAGCTGGACATTTGGTCTGACTCAGTATGGCGGTTCTTATGATGTTAATCAAAAATAAAAATAAAGTGAGCACAATACTCTTCGTATTCTGTGTTGTAATTTAAATCTATATATTTGAAAATGTAGAAAACATCCCAAAATATTTAAATAAATGTTATTCTATTATTGTCTAACAGTGCAATTAATCACGATTAATTTTTTTAATCGCTTGACAGCCCTAGTTTTTTTTCCAGATAAGTATGTTTTCTTTTATTGGCTGTTTTATAGCTTGTTGTCATGTATTGCTCAAGACCCTGGACTAGGCCATCTGGAGAACTTCATTTCAGAGTTACTGGGGCTAGCTGCTGCCACAAATCAGAATCAACTGCCTTTGCAGCACAGGGGGCGAGACTATTCTCGGCAATAAACCCTCTGCATTGATAGAGGGAAACCCTAAGAGAAGATGAAAATTATGAGTAAATAAATTCTTTATGTACATGTAGTTTTAAACTAACCTAAAATTATTGTTCTATATCCACTGTTTTTTTGTAATGAATTTGATGCAGAAAAGGGGTTGAGTTGTCCTAATGACAAGACATAAGACTTTGGTCAGTTGAGAGACTGTGTGGTGTTGGGTATTTCAAAAGTTGGGAAGGTTTAGTGACTAGCTTCAGGAAACCCACATTCATAATCTGAGGGCAGAATGTGCTAGCATCCTTACCTTTATATTGTGTGCAGTATTTTTCATATTGGGTAGCACTAGTTTGAGTTAATAAGGAAGAAATGCTTAACTATTTACATTTCTGCTAACTTATAAGAGGAAGCCCTGGGAAAACTGGGTTTGTCATTACTGTCTGCCCACTCAGAGATTACAAATGACATTGAGTGTGTTCTCATTCCACTAAAAAGACTTTAAGGTTGCATTTACATTTTTTTTTGCTGTGTACACCTAGATGAGAGTAATATATTGTTCCGCTAAAGCACTGATGCATAGTTATCACAGTACAGATAATTTTAGGTGGTTATTACATTACTCATTTAACAATGAAATTCCTCTACAGTTTGAAAATGTACAGTATCCCTGAAATTTTAAAATGTTTCTGTTTGACTAAACAGAAATGATTTTTCAATTTGTGCGACAGTAACAGTGCATAATACAGATAAAGCATTATATACTGAAAGCCAGTCAGTTGCTGCTGGGTTTAGAAGTCACATGTATTTAATTCAGAGTTTTAGTCATCCTCAACAGCTGAGCACTGAAACTGATGATTTAATTTCTTCTGACATTAATTAATCTGATTGTTCTTACAATTATGAAGATTTATGGCAAAGGAAAAGTGATGATAATAGTGTATTCATCAGAAGAAGTTGTAATTGCAGACTAATATAAAGGGTGACAGGAAACTACTAGCAAGAGTTAAACATTATGTCCTTACCTCTTACGTTATAGTCTGTTATAGTCAATTTGGCTTATGAAATGAAGCTGTCTCACCACCAACGGTAATTAATCTGTGTCAACAAAATATGTGGATTAGTGTGCAATTAGAACAAAAAAAATCTGTCTAAAATATTAAATCATAAAATAATTAACAGCTGTGATAGTCTGACAGCTGAAAGACATTTTAAAAATTTCTGGACACAATGGGACAACATTTTCCAAATGATGCAAAATAATTTAACATGTGACTAATTAAGATCAGTTGGAGTTTTAGGGTTATCACATTTCTCATTTTGTCCTTCATGATTGAGAGACTTGATATTACAATGCACAGCAATTTTTTCCTTGCATTAATGCATCTTGAGGAGTTCTTCGCTTTTTTGTTGTAGCCAAGCTAGCATTGGAGACTGAGACAGATCTCTGCATAGCCACATAGATTCCTAATCCCTCTACATTACTTTGAAAATATACTCCAGTACTGATGAAAAACCTCTCAGTCAATGGAAAACAGTCCTAAGTAACACTAAGAGTAGGGCCTTCTGCTTTTTGGATAATCCTTGATTTAATATAACATTCTGAATCTACTCTTATTCTTCCTAACTTAGATCTTTTTATTTGTTTCCCAACATAGAAATCTTGCTGGTAAATTCTTGAATTGTGGAGCAGCACCTCCACAGCTAAGGTAATAGAAGCCTGACTTTTCCCCCACACATGCAACATTCTCAAAAAGAAATCAATCTTTCTGAAATGTCACATGCCAGATCTCATTTCTGGGTAGAACTTTTCTGAGAAGTTTGTGGGGAAAAAAAATCGAAAACAAAATATTATAGTAATGATGCTCACCCTTTTTTTCCCCTGTTGATTTTTAACAAAAATTCTTTAACTCTTTTGGTTCATCATAGCTCCAGAATGGCTCGCTCTACAACTCCAGCTGTTTTTGTTTGTTTGTCTCTGTCTTTCTGTCTTGCTAGGAAAGTGCTTTTTTTTTTTTTTACTGTTTGAGGGGAAGGGCAGATGCACGTTGAAGACTGCTTGTTTCAGGTAAGGAGGGAAAAGAAACTGAAACTGCCCTTTGTTGTTTTGGTCTTTGGTCCGTATTTTAGGCTGGAGCAGAGAAATGTCCTATACAAAGATCTGTGGCCTTGAAATGTAGAATGCAATATATTTTCTTGGTTTTTTTCCCTCTTTTGTTTTAATTGATCTACAGATTGGCCCATGCTTGTACAGAACTGTTCTCCCATATCTACAGAGCAATGTTTAAAATTATTTTTAAACTTCCAGAAATATAAACTGATTTGCTTCTGACTGTGAACAGTTTGGGGAGGAGGAACTGTGGGAGTGGGAATGTGGAGGGCCAGAAGCTGGAGAAGGGCTAAGGGACTGGATTGCATTGAGTTGTGCTATTCAGACTTGGAATGGAGTTCTGGCAGGAAAGGAACGGGGATGAAGATTAATATAGATTTTATAATCCAATAATTTGTTCATATATGAATGTTAAGGGATGAAGTTACGGCTGCGTGCTGTTGTAAACTGGGTGGGGCGAGACTGAGTGAGGACTATCCCCATAGTGACTGGGTACATATCACCTCAGGAAGGGATGCTGAGATAAAGTTTCTTACCTTAAATGATTGCTTCTTGGAGCAGCTGGTCCTGGAACCCACAAGAGGAGAGGCAATTCTTGATTTAGTCTTAAGTGGAGCACAGGATCAGGTCCAAGAGGTGAATATAGCTGGACTGTTTGGTAATAGTGATCATAATATTAAATTTAACATCTCTGTGGCAGGGAAAACTCCACAGCGGCCCAACACTGTAGCATTTAATTTCAGAAAAGGGAACTACACAAAAATGAGGTGGTTAGTGAAAAAAATTAAAAGGTACAGTACCAAAAGTAAAATCCCTGCCAGCTGTGTGGAAACTTTTTAAAGACACCATAATAGAGGCTCAACTTAAATATATACTCCAATTTAAAAAACATAGTAAGAGAACCAAAAAAGAGCCACAGTGGTTAAAAAAGTGGTTAATAGAAAAGAACATGAACTCTGGCAAATGAAGTATAAAAATATAATTAGACCAAAAAAGAATTAAGAACAGCTAGCCAAAGACTCCAAAAGTAATAGCAAAAAAGTTTTTAAATACATCAGAAGCAGGAAGCCTGCTAAACAACCAGTGGGACTACTGGACGATCGAGATGCTAAAGGAGCACTCAAAGACGATAAAGCCATTGCAGAGAAACTAAATGAATTCTTTGCATCGGTCTTCACTGTTGAGAATGCGAGGGAGATTCCCAAACCTGAGCCATTCTTTTTGGGTGACAGATCTGAGGAACTGTCCCAAATTGAGGTGTCATTAGAGCAGGTTTTGGAACAAATTGATAAACTAAACAGTAATAAGTCTCCAGGATCTGATGGTATTCACCCAAGAGTTCTGAAGGAACTAAAATATGAAAGTGCAGGACTACTAACTGTCATCTGTAACCTATCCTTTAAATCAGCTTCTGTACCTAATGACTGGAGGATAGCTGTGTGATGCCAATTTTTAAAAAGGGCTCCAAAGGTGACCCTGACAACTACAGACCAGTAAGCCTCACTTCAGTACCAGGCAAATTGGTTGAAACTATCATAAAGAACAAAATTGTCAGACACCTAGATGAACATAATTTGTTGTGAAATGGTCAACATGTTTTTTGTAAAGGGAAATCATGCCTCACCAATTTACTAGAATTCTTTGAGGGGGTCAACAAGCATGTGGACAAAGGAGATCCACTGGATCTCATGTATTTAGATTTTCAGAAAGCCTTTGACAAGGTCCCTCACCAAAGACTCTGAAGCAAAATAAGTAGTCATGGGATAAGAGGGAAGGTTCTCTCATGGATTGGTAACTGGTTAAAAGATAGGAAACAAAGGGTAGGAATAAATAGTCAGTTCTCAGCATGGAGAGAGGTAAATAGTGGTGTCCCCCAGGGATCTGTACTGGGCCCAGTCCTATTTAACATATTCATAAACGATCTGGAAAAAGGGGTAAACAGTGAGGTTTCAAAATTTGCAGATGATACAAAATTACTCAAGATACTTAAGTCTCAGGCAGATTGTGAAGAGCTACAAAAGGATCTCACAAAACTGGGTGACTGGGCAACAAAATAGCAACTGAAATTTAACGTTGGCAAATGCAAAGTAATGCACATCGGAAAACATAATCCTAACTATACATATACAATGATGGGGTCTAAATTAGCTGTTACCATTCAAGAAAGAGATCTTAGTCATTGTGGATAGTTCTCTGAAAACATCCACTCAATGTGCAGCGGCAGTCAAAAAAGCGAACAGAATATTGGGAATCATCAAGAAAGGGATAGATAATAAGACAGAAAATATCATATTGCCTTTATATAAATCCATGGTAAGTGCACACCTTGAATACTGCATGCAGATGTGGTCGCCCCATCTCAAAAAAGATATATTGGAATTGGAAAAGGTTCAGAAAAGGGCAACAAAAATAATTAGGGGTATAGAACGGCTTCCATATGAGGAGAGATTAATAAAACTGGGACTTTTCAGCTTGGAAAAGAGGCGACTAAGCGGGCATATGATAGAGGTCTATAAAATCATGAGTGGTATAGAGAAAGTAAATAAGGAAGTGTTATTTACTCCTCATAATACAAGAACAAGGGGCCACCAAATGAAATTAATAGGTAGCAGGTTTAAAACAAACACAAGAAAGTATTTTTTCACACAACACACTGTCAACCTCTGGAACTCCTTGCCAGAGGGTGTTGTGAAGGCCAATACTATAACGGGGTTCAAAAGGGAGCTAGATAGATTCATGGAAGATAGGTCCATCAATGACTAGCTGGCAGGGTGGGCAGTAATGGTGTCCCTAGACTCTGCTTGCCAGAAGCTGGGATTGGGTGACAGAGCATGGATCACTTGATGGTCACCTGTCTGTTCATGCCCTTTGGGGCACCAGCCATTGGCCACTGTCCGAGGACAGGATACTGGGATTGATGGACCTTTCGTCTGACCCAGTATGGTTGTTCTTATGACAGAACTCCTCCCTATGAACTCTCGCGCTGAGTTTTCCGTGCTAGTAGAGGACGATAAATTAATTTCCCGTGCATCCCTGCAGGCGACCCTGGATGCAGCAGATGCAGCATCTCACACCGTGGCTACGGGGGTGGCCACGAGGAGGAGTTCCTGGCTGCAGGTCTCTGGCCTCCCATACGAGATACAGCAGACAATCCAGGACCTCCCCTTTGAGGGTCAGTCTTTGTTTTCCGAGAAGACTTGACTCTCGTCTGCACAGCCTCAAGGACTCTCAAGCCACCTTGAAGTCCCTGGGCTGCCACACCCCTGCCACCCAACGGAGGCACTTTAGACCCCAGGCCCTCAGAGGAATTATCAACCTCAGGGTAGGCAGGATGGGTCGTGCAGGAGAATTAGGAACTCAAGGAAGAGACCTCATCCCTCCTCTGGCCAGTCTAAACCCTCTTTAGGCCCAAAACTGGCCTTTTGAATGTGTGCTTGGGGGTGATGCACTGGATCCAGCCTGCCTTACCTTTTCATCCTATCTATCTCCTTTCTACCATGCATGGGCCCGTATTACATCAGATCGCTGGGAATATTCACTCCAATTTTCTGCCCTCCTGCCCTTCCACACCCCCTTCCCCATCCCTCTTCAGGGACCCTTCTCATGAGCAATTCCTCATATAGGAAGTGGAATCGCTCCTCTTGCTGCGGGCAGTTGAAGAGGTTCCTCAGGAGCAGAAGGGTAAGGGCTTCTATTCCCGATATTTCCTAATACCAAAAGCCAAAGGCGGGCTCAGGCCCATCCGAGACCTGAGAGAGCTCAACAAGTTCATAAGAAACTCAAGTTCCAAATGGTCTCCTTGGCCTCCATCATCCCTTCCTTGGATCTAGGGGACTGGAATGCTGCCCTCTACTTGAAGGACGCGTACTTTCATATAGCAATCACACTGTCCAACAGAAAATACTACAGAGAATACATGTAGGGACTACCACTCCAAGAAGAGGTTACTTACCAGTAACTAGAGGTTCTTTGAGATGTGTGGTCTCTATCTATATTGCACTACCTGCCCTCCAATTCCCTCTGCTTCAGACTGGATTCCATTACAGTAAGAAGGAGACTGGAGAGGTGTTGACCCGCACTACCTTATACCCTCAGCTGGGAGCACGAGGAGATGCACTATGCATGTGCAAGTCAACAGACACTGCTAAGAAATGCTTCCAGACTCTGGCACATAGCATAGTGCACCTACATGTGGAATACAGATAGGGACCATGCATCTCCAAGAACCTCCAATTACAGGTAACTGGCCTTCTCTTTTGGTTCACTGGCAGTTCTAGAAAAAAAAAAAACCCAAAAATTCAGATTGTGTTGAACTGAATCCAAACTTCAGTAACTTGAAAAAGTCCATTGCAGATTAAATGAAGTGTTTCGTTCAATTGAAACTGTTTTGTTTCCAGGCATTTTTAAAGGACTACACTCACATATAAAATAATAGTACTGGCCCAGTGGTTAGAATAATCACCCGAGATGTGGGAGACCCAGGTCTGAATCCACCTACTGGAATCTCCCCACTACTAAAAGGGTGCCTTAAGCACTGTGCTAATGGTTATGCTGGAGTGGGAGTCTCTGAATTTCTCCTGTAGAAGCTATATATTCTCTATAAATAATTAGTCATTGGAGCAGGAACTTCAACTTGGCTCTTATGCCACCAGGAGTGAAAGTAATTTAAAGGACTTACCGGTACTGCAGAGTCCTTAGGAGGGGAGGGGCTCAACCAGAAGAGGCGTGGCCTCTAGAATCCTAGAATATCAGGATTGGAAGGGACCTCAGGAGGTCATCTAGTCCAATTCCCAACTACATCATCCCAGCCAGGGCTTTGTCAAGCCTGACTTTAAAAACCTCCAAGGAAGGAGATTACACCACCTCCTTAGGCAACCCATTCCAGTTCTCTACCGGAAGAGGTGGGGCCTTTAAATCCCTGGGCGCTTTAAATCAGGATTTAAAGGGGCTAGGGCTGTGGTAGCAGCAGCGGGGAGCCCCAGGCCCTTTAAATCACCCCCAAGCTACCAGCTGCAGAGGTGGCTGGGAGCCCCAGAGGTGATTTAAAGGGCCCGGGGCTCCAGCTGCCGCTACCGCAGAGGAGCCCTGGGCACTTTAAATCACCATCGGAGGGGGCTCCTGGCTGCTGCCATTGCCCCGGCCTCTGGCGAAGTTTTAAAGGGCCCGGGGTGGTAGCGGTGGCCAAGCCCCTGGCCCTTTAAATCGCTGCTGGAGCCCGGCCGCTGCTACCCCAGGGCTCCAGCAGGCACTGGGTACGATTTAAAGGGCCTGGGGCGGTAGCAGCTACCAGAGCCCTGGACCCTTTAAATCGTCCCCAGAGCCCTGCTGCCAGAGCCCTGGGGAAGCGGCGGCGGGTCTCCAGTGGCTATTTTAAGGGCCTAGGAGGTAGTGGCTGCCGCAGCCCCGGATCCTTTAAATAGCCGCCGGAGACCTGCTGCTGCTACCCCAGGGCTCCGGGGACGATTTAAAGGGCCTGGGGTGGTCGTTGCGGCAGGAGCCCCACCACCGCTTCCCCAGGGCTCTGGCAGATGCTGGGAGCCCCAGGCCCTTTAAATTGCCGCCAGGGGAAGCCTATCCACCCTGGTACGGTGCACCGGCTCTTGCCGGTACGCCATACTGGGGCTTACCGCCTTACTTTCACCTCTGCATGCCACCCAGGGAACATTTATAGTTTAATTCATTAAAATTGTAATGATAATTTTCAAACTAGATTTGAGACTCTGTACAACTGATTTCAACCATCCTGGTTTAAATCACTTAAAATGGGATTAAAAGAGCTTTTGAACAGCAGGTTTTTAAAAACCCTGAACTATTACTGATTTGAAAGCTACACAGAAAACATCATTGCTTTGTTTTTCCATAACTCAAAATGTTATGGTCCAAAGTAAGAGCATGATCAATTTCACTCCAAAGAAATCCAGTTATTTAAGACCTAAACCAGACATTTCTATTGGCAGAGTAGATTTCCTGTGGATTTTATTATTTATTCAAAGTCATTTCAGTCACGCAATCCATTGATTTCAAGATACAGGCACTATGTGAAAATAGCTATGGAAACAAAACTTGATCATTATTAGAAATGCTCACATGTTCAGAGCTGGAATGGGTACAGGAATTTTGTAGTTGGACCTCAGCTTTTACCACATCAAAAACTGAACCTCCAAAGAAGTTGCCTGATTTTAGGAGGCAATGATAATCCTATAATGTCTAATCCACTTTCTCCCTTTTTGGAAAATAGGTTTCTCCTCTCCTGTCTTACCACTTTGTTTTGTGGCAAATTCTCACAAGCAGGGAAGATATAATGTTGAGTTAATGATAGCAGCAGATATTGGGAACCAGGACTCCTGGATTCTGTGCCAGACTCTGAAAAGGGCTCAGTATGTGGCTTTGATCAATTATTTAACCTGTGCCTCATTTTACTCATTTGTAAAATGTGGAGAATAATACATCACAGGGTAGAGTTGCTAAATATTAATTAAATGCTTTCAGTTCAGTTCCTTCAGACCTGATTCTGCTCTCTAGCAAAATTCCTTTGTACTTCAGTGGTGCAGGACAGGCTTTGTATGACCAAATCTCCTTTAAAGGGAAAGGCCTCGTATATCTGTAATATGGGCATATGTATGGAAATCTTATTTTAGGAAGAGGGTTGGGGAATTTCTGATCTAGTTGCAAGTCATGTAAAGAAAGTTTAGTCCAAAGATGGAAAAATACTGAACTACTAGTAACTTGAGGCTACGTCTTTGGACGGTACTTTAATGATGAAGTTATTACTATCAAGAAAGCCAAGGAGACAGCCCCACTTTCTTGGCTAGCTGATACAAACAGGCTTAAAGGAAGAGCAGTTTAGATACAAGGATAAAAAACACTTTTAGCCATTAAAGTTTGTTAAAAGCACCCTGCTGGACTTAAAAAGCAACACTGTTAACCAGAAAAGGCTTTAAAATAAACCACAAAAAGCTGTGAGGAAGATTAGAAATGCTGGAAGAACAGATGATGTTTAAAAAGGGAATGCAGTAGGCTGAGGAAGGTACAGACTGTTGGAATTAAGATAAAGTTTCAATCCATTTTAAAAAGGAGAATCACTAGAAAATGCTTTAATAGGATAACCTAAGTTTGTTATCTCTCCAAGTGGGTAGAGATGGGAATGGCCACAAAGTAGTTTGTTAGTATATCTGAAGTAATACCAAGTTTATATTCTGGAACAGAAATATGGAATTATAGGGAATCAGTATTATATGAACTGTCTGCAACAGTTAGGACTTATACCTACCAGAATATTTTCTTATACTACTACTGTTTTGTACTTATCTAGTGCCTTCCATCTAAAGACTTGCTGCACTTTAATCATTTTAATGAATTAAGCCTTATTGAAATCCCAGTTATTATTAAAGTATTAGCCACACTTTATAGATGGGGAAAGTGAGGCAGCAAGCAATTAAGTGACTTCCCCTAGACCATCCAGGAAATGCTAACGATAGTGAACAGCTTCTTTTCCAGGACCACAGATTGCACATCTTTCCAGATCTGGCAAGGGCTAACCAATGGAGACTGTTAGATAGATCCAGGTACCACTATTTCAGGAGTGTGCAGTACCCAGAGACATTCCTATACCCTACAAAATTGAGCATCAAAGCTCGAGTGGAACCAGGTCAACAACCTGTGTTCCCTCTAAGCTGCGTGGTTGGGCGGCCGCCCAGGAGAGATTCAAGTGCTGCCCACTTGAAGAGCAGAGCCGCGCACATCCAGCAGCGTGTTTTCAGGTGCCCCTCCTCCCCGCTACTTTGCAGCCATATTGCTCCTGCAGCTGCTCCTGGGACCCTCCTGCTGACTGTGCAGAGCGAGGAGGAGCAGGTGCTGATGTCAGGGTGTCCCCAGCCCCTGTACCCCATCTCCACAGAGCAGGGGGGAGGGGACAGGGTTCAGGACTTGCAGCAGCTCTGAGGTCTGAACAAGCCTCCCAGTGAGTGAGAGCCTTAAAGCGACAGCGCACGGTCTCAGACTTCCCCAGCAGCCAGCACACACAATCTCTGTGTCTCTTTCTCTCTCTCTCTCGCATGTGCACACACTCTCACACAGTCTGTGTCCCACGTGCGCACACAGTGTCCGTCTTTCTCTCGCTCTCTTTCTTTCATTCACACACACACACACACACACAGAGTCTGTGTGTGTCACATTCATCTCCCAATACCTACTTATATTATTATTGTTGTTGTTACTTGGTACTTCCTGCAATGCACATATATTCTCTGTAATATTATTCTTTCAACGTGTGTTATTTTAGTGTTTTGACTGGTCTATGCATTTCATAATTTTTATTTTTCTTACACTTAAATTTAAAAACTGAAAATTGAACCCCCTTTGAGTAGTGAGTTCTAAAATGCCTAACCTGTCCTGGCTGGAGTAATTATCCCTATAGGTAACTTTTTAAAAATATATATTATATCTAGGTTTTTTGTTTCTACTGGTGGTGCACATCCGCACATTACCTTGGTGCACATATCAAAATTTATTCCGCACATGGATGGAAAAAATTAGAGGGAACATTGACAACAATCCAGGGGTTTTGTTTTGTTCTTTTCTGAGGCTACTGTCTTGCTGTCTAGATGTTGTTGTTAATTTAAAAGCTCAGAAGTCCCTAGCCCTTATGATTGCACAGACAACCTCCAAATCAAGTGTAACTGATGCTATGACGTTTGCTGAATTTGAGAATGCTGCCACATATAAGCCTTAAGCTCCCAGCATCCTTCACGGTTATGTCAACAGAGCTACAAGGTATAGTGGCTTTGAGAATATTGAATATAGGTAGGACATGCCCTAAAAGCAATGAAAATGGATCTCAGACATGACCCATTTTCATAATCTATTTTTCTTCTTTAAATGATGGACCCTATTGTATTCCACTGTGGGCTACACATATCACCCATGTGCCCAGAGCCAGAGGATTTGAAAGTAGTGTCCGTTGATCCACGCATGCACCTGGCTCACCTTGTGCCTCCGACTGAGGGGATAAAGAGCAGGGTGGACCAACCACCTCTCCAGTTCCTTCTCACTGCCACATGATCCAGGTTGGAACCTCTCTGTAGCTTCGTCTTCATCGCTTAAGAGAATATTTAACTTTGTAAATAGTTTTAGCATCTTGTACCGTGAAGTTTTAATGTTTCCATAGTTTTAGTGCTAGATTAATCTATAGGGGAACACTTCCCCTTCCCCACCCCATACCCTGTGCAGGTATTGGACTACAGCCTTTAAACTCTGTTTCCTACCCATGATCCTTCTCGGTCAGCAATGACCACCAGCACTGCCTGTATGGCCTTGGGGAAGCTCACATTGCAGTGAGGTGTAGTATTTGCCGCTCATTCCCCAGCCATACCTGAGAAGGACAGGAACTCCACCTTTGAAAACGCCTCATGGAAAAGACCATATGGCCTCAATCGGACCCAGGCTCGGAACCCCCACCCCCACCCCATACTTTGGCCTGAAGCAGCAGGAGGTTTACCTCTTGCTGAAAAGTCCAATGCTGGTGCCAGAGAATCTACCCTCAGACATTCCTGGCTGTTACCAGATGTGCCCATCACTTTGGGGTATGCTCATTTATTCGGGTTACTCCTCTGGGGAAGGAGGTTCTGTAATCCTGTCAATGTACTGCTTGTGTCACTTGTGTTTACATATGGAGCTCTACTTCTCCCTTCTGCAAGTCCCCTCCCAATGGAGCTATCTTGCAGGACCTAGGGTCCCTAGGGCTGGGTTACTCCCACCCTAGAACCCGTGGAACACCCACACATACGTTAACAGAGCAAGTCTGAGCGGACCGGGTCAATCAGCACTGTCAAGCTGACCCCTTATATGTCTCTGGGCTGGAGGAAGCAGCACTTTCAAGCTGTCTCTCCTTATATGCCCCTGGGCTCCATGGACTGGGTCAAGCAGCACTTTCAAGCTGTTACCCTTATGCGTCCCAAATTAAGCACGTCCCTATCCCCACTCCCCCAACACAACTGTACTGACAGTAACCTACTCGAGGAGCAAACCCTACAGTATTTTGGGCGCTGCAGGGATCTTTAGCTTAAGTAAAAGAAGCGTTGCTGTAGAGTGAATGGGGGAAGCTAAAAACACAAACGAGTAAAGTTCAGCAAGAGAAGCAACCAACTTAACCACAGAAGTTATTTATTGAATAATAGTGATAACTACACAAGGAGGACTAAACCAACATAACATACATGGTTAAAGGCTAATACCTAAGGTAGACAGGAAAACAGAGAGGGGGGGGTCTCACCGCTCCCTGAAGCTTGAACTGGTCGGGTGGTAGCTGAGGGTCCTGAGGGCAAGAGGCAGGCAGAGTCCCCAGCACGATCAGTGAGGAGATGATGGAGTTCCAATGGAACTGATGCTTATTTGGATCTAAGCATCAGAACCCTGACTAGAGGGTGAGTAGTGATTTTTGTAGAGAAAATACAGTGGTTCAAGGGAGAACACTAAATTTGTTTATAGGTAAACTGATGACTCAAGGGTTTTCTTTAGACTAGACAATAGGAGCTGATCACTCTTGGCTATGAAAAAACAACAAGGAGTCTGGTGGCACCTTAAACATTAACAGATTTATTTGGGCATAAGCTTTTGTGGGTAAAAACCTCACTTCTTCAGACGCATCTTGGCTATGGGTGGTGTTTTCTTCCAGGGAGCTCACAATACAATTCGTCTGCTTCAGTATTTGGATATCAATTAAGGATTCATTACTAGAATTGGTCTGATAACTGCTGAGCTGGGTGTGTGTGCAGGTGTAGAGTAGCAGCCGTGCTAGTCTGTATCCGTAAAAAGAACAGGTACTCCTGTTCTTTGTGCAGGTGTAGGTTCATTAGCATCTGGAGCAGAGATTCCCAGGATGCAGTGCTTCCCTGCTTTTTCTGGTCCCAGAATTCAGTGTGGTTCTCTGTTCTCCATTCTGTATGTAAATTGAGATGTCTTCCTGTCCCATCTTTCATGCAGATGAGGCATGGGGAGTTGTCTCTGCTCTCCATTCTGTATGCTAATGGAGATGTCTTAATCTTGTCACCCTTGTCGGGAGGGATCTAGGTGTGTCTCCCAACGCCCTTCACTGCTCTCTGCAAGTTTTCTTCCTCTGATGGGTTTTGGTTTAAGCAGAGGCTGGGGGGGAGGGGAAGGGGGTTTCTTTCATGAGTCAGGCTGGGCTGTTGCTGAGCTCTGTGACTTTATCCTCACACACAATTATTTCAAATTTGGTGACAATATATACCTCCAGACCAGTGGCACCGCCATGGGCACCCGCATGGCCCCACAATATGCCAACATTTTTATGGCTGACCTGGAACAACGCTTCCTCAGCTCTCGTCCACTCACGCCCCTTCTCTACCTACGCTACATTGATGACATCTTCGTCATCTGGACCCATGGGAAGGAGACCCTGGAAGAATTCCACCATGATTTCAACAGCTTCCACCCCACCATCAACCTCAGCCTGGACCAATCTACACAGGAGGTCCACTTCCTAGACACCACAGTACAAACAAGCGATGGCCACGTTAACACCACCCTATACCGAAAACCCACCAACCGCTACGCCTACCTTCATGCCTCCAGCTTCCACCCCGGACACACCACACGATCCATCATCTACAGCCAAGCGCTGAGGTACAACCGCATCTGCTCCAACCCCTCAGACAGAGACCAACACCTACAAGATCTTCACCAAACATTCTCAAAACTACGATACCCACACAAGAAAATAAAGAAACAAATCAACAGAGCCAGATGTGTACCCAGAAGCCTCCTGCTACAAGACAGGCCCAAAAAAGAAACCAACAGAACTCCACTGGCTATCACCTACAGTCCTCAGCTTAAACCTCTCCAACGCCTTATCAGTGATCTACAACCCATCCTGGACAATGATCCCTCACTTTCACAGACCTTGGGAGGCAGGCCAGTCCTCGCCCACAGACAACCTGCCAACCTTAAGCATATTCTCACCAGCAACCACGCACCGCACCATAACTCTAACTCAGGAACCAACCCATGCAACAAGCCTCGATGCCAACTCTGCCCACATATCTACACCAGCAACACCATCACAGGACCTAACCAGATCAGCTACAACATCACTGGCTCATACACCTGCACGTCCACT